GAAAAACTCTGGTGTAGATTAGAACGAGGAGGAAGGCGGTGTGGGCGGAGCAGCAGAGGTGGGTGAGGAAGGAAGGAAAGGTAGATAAAGGAGAGGAGGCTCAGCTGATAAAGGGCTTTCTTTTTTTTTTTTTTTTTAAGGTTTTTATTTATTTCTAGGAGAGAGAGAGAGAGAGACAGCGTGAGCAGGGGAGGGTCAGAGAGAGAGGGAGTCACAGACTGAAACAGGCTCCAGGCTCTGAGCTGGCAGTCAGCACAGAGCCCGACGCGGGGCCCGAACCCACGAACCGCGAGATCATGACCTAAGCGAAAGTCGGACGCTCAACCGACTAAGCCACCCAGGCGCCCCATGATAAAGGGCTTTCTAAGCCATGGTAAGGAATACGAATTTCAAGCGCAGTGGAGAGTAGGTAAGTGAGATGATTTGATGTGCATTTTACAATCGTTCTAACTGCTGTGTCGGGAATGGATGGCAGCCAGACGGGGGTGAGGGATTCAGTAGGAACATGCTTCTGTAGTCCATGTCACATGATGGTGAATGTGGACCGGGGTGTCATGCAAGGAAAAGAAAAAAGACATATTTTGGAAATGGAGCCAGTAGAACCTGCTATTGTGTGTAATGGGAGTGAACAACATAGAAAAATCAAATGTGACCCCTAAGGTTTTAAAAGAGTACTCACTGTAAAATAGTTATCCTTTAGAGTAGGGCAAAAATCTGTCTCTTGCAGCTGCCACATATTAGTTATAACCCTATCCCTGTAAAAGAAGTTCATTATCACCTTCAAATGTCAAAAGATTCTTACGTTCTCCTTCAGATTTCTCCTCTTTGACTAAATAGTTCAAATGTTTGCAATCACCATTCAAGTCAGTTGCGGTTAGATCACTTCACTCCTGTGGGTGCTCACTTCTGAACACCTTTCACTGGGAGTATGTTTTTCTATGAACAGCATCCGTGCCCAGGCAAAAAGAGATGTGGTCTCACCATCACAAAGCAGGCTTCGCTGTCTACCTTCTTCATCCTAGACAGTAGTTTTTTATCAATGTCTTTGTGACTGGCCCTTCATAATCATTGTCCCTCAAAGTCTAAGCGGAGAACTAAGGCGAGGATGTAGAATGAGATAAACTATGATCAAATAAAGACCACAGAAAAGCGTGAGTGGTCAAAGGGGGACAAGCTTAGCACTAGACAGGGGAGTTAAGAATAGCTTTTATGGAGAAACTGGAACAAAACATGTTGAATAACGGGAAAGATGCCGACAGGCGGCAGTGACGGAAACTGGAGGGGAAAAGAAAAAGAACCAGATAGAGACACAGAAGGTAAGTTACAGCCTGAGCAAGGCAAGGGCCTAACTGTTGAATCTGCTGTCCCGTGAGCTGTGTGGGTGCCGGCGGGCAAAGCAGTAAGAAAGGTAAGGTCGGGCTGTGCTCCAGAGACCATGAACGTTACAGGAAGAAATCTGTGCACACGGGCGCCTGCGTGCCTCAGTCAGGTAAGCGTCCGACTCTTGGTTTCGGCTCAGGTTATGATCTCACGGTTCGTGTGACCGAGCCCTGAATCGGGCTCCGTGCTGACAGCATGGAACCTCCTGAGAGATTGTCTTTCTCTCCCTCTCACTCTGCCCCTTCCCTCCCTCAAAATAAATAAATAATTTTTTTAAAAAAAGGAAAGAAATCTGTTCTCAGTTTGTTAGACAAAGCGATGGTGCTGAAGGCTGGGGACTTTGTTGTTCATGTTTATAAACCCACAGAGAGAAGTTCACTTCAAGAGGATTACTCTGGTAGCAGATTTATTTAAGTAAAGAAAGACAGGAGAGAACACTGCATTGCTACAGTGGTCCAGGAAGGAAGTCATGAGGGTTAAACAGAGCTTTAATGAAGGGAATGGAGGACAGTTACAAATGCAGAGGGACAGTAGGGACAAAATTTCTAGGGCTTCATAACTGCTCGAGTGGAAAGGACAAATGAGGAAGAGAAGGAAAACATGCCTTCTCACAAAGATAAACTGAGATTTTACACAAAAGCACCACCCTTCCACACCTACCTTGATAACAGACTTAGGTATAATTAATTTTTAGACTCCCTATCACCCATGTCTTTATAGCATGCAAAAAGTCACTAAAATATTCTGTTAAATCATAAGGTTCAAGCCAGTAGAGGATTGATAGAAAATGCAATCTTATAACTTAGAAAGAAAAGATATCTTCAGACTCATATGGTGCTGGTGACTATTTTAAATACCCAAAACTGGCCCATCCTGCTCTCCAAGAACTGGTTTGACAGCACAAGAAATACCACTGATGTCAGAGCTCAGATGGAAAGCAACGCACGGCGTGTCATTATGGTTCAAGTTCCTCATCTCAATCTTTTTTAAGTGTATTTATTCATGGGGGGGGGGCGCAGAGCCAAAGGGGGAGAGAGAGAATCACAGGCAGGCTCCGTGCTGTCTGCACAGAGCCTGACTTGGGGCTCAATCTCAGGAACCATGAGGTCATGACCTGAGCTGAAACCAAGAGTTAGACGCTCAACCGACCGAGCCACCAGGCGCCCCTCTTCATCTCAATTTTTAAGTGTTATGAACAGCACACTTTCTATTCTGTGTAGGGCCAACTGGTATTTTTCCTCCATTGCATTTGCTAAATACTGAGGGAGGAAGAGGAGGAGGACAAGATGGACGAGAAGAAAAAGAAGGAGGTGGGAGAGGAGGGGGACAGAGAGAGAAAGAAGGAAGAAGACAGGCTGCCTTAACATGTAAAAGGCAGATATATACTTGGCAGCTAAGACCATGTATTCCTGTTAAAAAAAAGAAAAAGCATAATCTTATTGCTTTGCTTTTCCTTTGGATTTTATCTTATAACGGCTAGTATATTTCCCAGATGATTTCATCCAAATAAAAATGCTTTTAGTAATGGTTCATTATAGCCTAAAAAGTATATCATTAAAAATTCAGAAGTTATACTAAAGTATGAACAACAGAACCAGATTCACCTATAATTTCATCACTCAGATCATCAATGTTAATATTTTGTTTATAGCCTTCTGGACATTTTGTTATGTGTGTCTTTTTAAAGTAAGAATTAGGGTCTTTTTTGGGTCATTTTAACCACAATACATATTGTGGCCTCTTCCCTCATTTCTTCCCTTCTGTTCTTGAAGGTTCATTCCTTGAATCTTTAGGAAGAGCAGAGCAAAGTTGAGTGTCTGTGCTGAGCAAGAAGGGCACACACACAGGATGTGATCCAGAGCTTCGGAGCCCAAAAGAAGCAGAAGGTGCGTATGTAGGAGGCTGCCGGGGGTGGAGAATTAGAATGTGGAGGAGTGAGGAGCGTGTCAATGATCGGGGACGGCCTGGCACGGGGTATCAGGGGTGATGAGCATGTGACCATGTGAAGGAGTGACCAGCACAGTCAGAGGCCATGCTGGTGGAAAGAAGGTCTGTCGGCAGCTCGAGGTAGACTGTGGGAGCCCATGGGAGGTAAGGAGGGAGCCCTGCTTCATAGGGGGGGCATCAAAGGCCAGGCTGCCAGGGGACACACCTGTGGGGGGTCTGGCCTCACGTGTGGTACCTAAGCCCAAGGAGGCCATGAGGAGGGAGGATGTGTGTGGAGGGGGGCTCCTGGGTGTTGAAGCATTACACGTATCCATTATTCGAGGAGAGCCACCATCCTTACGAAAGGAAGTTTTAAATCCAATAAGAGTAAAGCTCTCTATTTATTATACATTTTTATAGCCCTCAATATAGTATTACACTATTTTCTTGTGTTTCTCGTTAACTTTTGTCTTAAGTATTTAATATTTTTATTGCTATTGTGAATAATGTGTTTTACACAGTGTAGTCTGTTCCTTTTTGGTATATAGAAAATCTATCGAGTTTAATACTTACTTACAATAAACAACTGAGATGAAGTCTATTAGTTCCTTAGTTCTAATATTTTTTAACTGATCCTCTTAGGTTATCTTAGGTTACTTATTCAAATTAAAACTGATCAGTCATTAAATCTTGTTAATATACAGTCAGTTGGGCCAATGTGCAGATGGAGGAAAGACAAAATTTAGATGGTCATTAATTAGTAAATCATTTATTTGTTTATCAAGTACTTACACATACTATAACTAACCCTAGCCAAGTTACCTAATCTAGAAAATTCTATTTTTCTCAATTGTAAAATGTAAATAAACAAAGAACCTATACAGGCATTAAATGAGAACAATGCAAGTAAACTGCTTAGTAATGCACAAGGCGAGTGCTCAAGAAATGTCAGAGGTGATTGCATACCCTGTAGGCTGCCCTTCCCAATGTCTGCAGAACCACCACTAGTTGAGAGAATGGTCAAGCTCAGCTGTTTCTTTTAAATCCAGTATTTGAAAGGAAGGAAGGAAGGAAGGAAGGAAGGAAGGAAGGAAGGAAGGAAGGAAGGAAGGAAGGAAGGAAGGAAGGAAGGAAGGAAATAGAAATTTATGAGAAACTCTGAAATCTACTAACCTTCCCTTAGCTGTAATCCTCTTACCTTCCATTACATTTGCAGTTTCTGAAGGCTTCTACATACAACAGACCCTTAGTAAATACTGATGGATTTCAAACAACATTGGAAAACTAAAAAAAAAAACCTTAAAAGGTCCCACTGCCCTATGAAGGTATTAATATGCCAGGCCACTTAACGGACGAGACAAGTCCATAATGAAATCTGAGGTAATGAACTAAACTCATTCCCGCAAAATCTTACTGAGCTATATTAAAGTGTCATATACAATATTAAAATTTAAGTTTAGAAATACAAGAATTAAAAATAAATAAATTTTGAAATTTTGAAAAAAAAAAAAAGAATTATATTCCCCTCCCCCAAAGCGTGCAACATTCAGACTCGTTTGCTGGTCATTGCCCTTCACCATACCTGCTTTCTTATTAAGTTGCAAACTGTAAAGCCGCTTGTATCGCCTACTAGCCAAAAGCCCAATTTCTTTAACGAAGTGTAAAAACACGTAAAACCTGACATTCTGACTTACCCACTTCAGCCAAAGTTCTGATACAAGACTCCACAGAGGATTTCTGTGCTGGATTTGGCCAGGTGCAATTGTAAATCCTGAAGGCAGATTGCAGCAGCTGAATAAAAACTGGCTGATGTGTCTGAAAGCAGAAAGTACGCAAATAGACCACTGCACCATTAAGGCTCCTGACACGGATGTATGCATTATCAAAGACGTGCATCAAAATAAACTCCAATCCGCTCTTTTGGAGTGTCAGTGCCATTTAAAGGACATCTCATTCAACAAATACTTATAATATACCCATCTCGTGACAGGCCCTGTCCCAGACACTATAGAAAATTGATGATTTGCATTTTAACTACATTCTTAATGAGAAAGAAATTGGCATTTTTGGAAGCCAATGACATGAATAAGTATTTTCTTTAATAATCTCTGGTTTATTTCCAAGTATAAATAGAGCAGGTGTTCTGGGTTCGTTTGTTTGATTGACTATATGTTTTGGTTTCATGTGATGTGAAAGTACAAGAGATATGACCTACAGAAACAATTTCATATGATTCTAATAGTTTCAACATTTGCCCTATGGAAAGTATAATTGAAATAGTATTTAAAAAAATTTTTTTAATGTTTATTTATTTTTGAGAGAGCAAGTGAGACAGATCATGAGCAGAGGAGGGGCAGAGAGTGAGGGAGACACAGGCTCTGACATAGACTCCAGGCTCTGATCTGTCAGCACAGAGCCTGACGTGGGGCTAGAACTCACAAACCGGGAGATCAGGACCTGAGCTGAAGTCGGACGCTTAACTAAATGAGACACCCAGCACCCCTGAAATGGTATTTTTATAAGAGTAATACACAATCAATGTAGAATATGTGGAAACCACAGAAATGAAAATCACCAATAATCCTACCATGTAGAGATAATCAGTATCAACATTTTGAAGCTATCTACGCCCTGAATTTTTCTGTATATACATGCACATATATTCTTCAGACACTCTGATTTGGATGATTCTATAATGTAATTCTGGGGCCTGTTTCACTTCATATTACTTTATAATCATTTTCCTTAGTCATAAATATTTCTTTTAAAACACGATTTCCTGGGGCGCCTGGGTGGCTCAGTCGGTTAGGCGTCCGACTTCGTCTCAGGTCATGGATCTCCCAGTCTCTGAGTTTGAGCCCCGCATCGGGCTCTCTGCTGCCAGCTCAGAGCCTGGAGCCTGTTTCAGATTCTGTATCTCCCCCTCTCTCTGACCCTCCCCTGCTCATGCTGTCTCTCTCTCTCACAGAAATAAATAAAACATTAAAAAAATTAAAAATAAATAAAAAATGTTAAAATTTTTTTAAAATAAATAAATAAATAAAAATAAAACACGATTTTCAATTGCTATATAATAGGCCACCCAACAGACACACCATAATTTATTTAGCCATTCTTCTATGCATAGACATTTAAGGTTGATACCAATTTTTAAGTATTATACATACTTGAATGAAAATCTTAGTATATAAATTTCTGCTAATAACTTGAGGATAAATTACTAAAGTGGCATTATTGAGTCAGAATGCCTATCCATTTAAAGAATCATTTATTGCACTATTTGGCAAACAGCCAATATACTGATATGAACCTTCCTACTACGCTTAGAAAGAGAACAGGAACAATTCATTTTGATGATGGAAGATGGGACCTTTTTACTTAAAATAAACCTTGGTAAACTCAGAAAGGGGCATAATGATAAATAACGGGAGAGAAAAATAACTTTCAGAAGTGTAAGAAACAACTTCCTGGTCAGATTAAACTTTTTTCCTAGTCAAACAAGGGAAGTAAAGTGTGTGACAGAACACTCTTGTATTTGTTTACATTACCTGGAGGCTTGTACTATTGTCTGAAAATGGGGAATTAAAGAAGCCGCTCACAATGTTCATTATGGACTCAGTCACACACTTCTCCAAGAACGTGTCTGCATGCTTCCTGTCTGTGGTTGTGTTGCAAACCTGGAGAGAAAAACAGAACAACTCACTCTGTTCTAGCACATCTTTGAAATACGAATACCAGAATCTTCTAAAAATTGTCCAGAAGTAGTTATTTATAACATTCTTCTGCTTTTGAAAGTTGCTCTAAATAGACACATTTCTACCTAAAATCTATTAAAATTTTCTGCTCCTTTAAGTTTGGTTGTCATTTCATCCTTGGACCAGAATTCTTTCATAGACCCCAGCTCCATTCTCCTGCTCTGCTCCTCCACACCCTTGCACCCCAACCATCACCCTCTGTCCCCAGGCTTGGCTTTCCTGGAAGACACCCTTCAACCCAATGTGAGCGAATCAAAGAGGAAACAGTCATTATAAGAAAGGGGTGAATGTGATTAATGGGGGTTTATATCTCTACATATTTTCACTTCTAATACCTGGCCCCAATAGGAGATGCCAAGAGAAAATATTTGGCAAGGAAAATAGAAAGCTGAAAGAAGATAAAACTCCTTCCAACACTTTGACCTTTTCATCCATAGATTAACTGGGAAGCATGGAAGTGTGCCTTTGTATGTTTCCTTCTTTGAGTAGGCTAAGCAAGAAGAGATAATACTCATACTAAGCATAAATCAGAAAAGAACACAGGCCTGGTTTCTGCCCTGCTCTTCCTATGATTAAATGAGGCAGAAATTGCTCATTTTGTAAAACAAAATACAAATTTCCAAGTATGTCAGGGGAGACAAGTTGCAAAAGCGAAGATACGTGATTAAAAACTAAGAAAAAAAGCTGGGCAACAAAAAGAAACTTTGAAGATAAAAAGAAGAAAAAAGCGGGAGGGGGAGGGTATAGGGTGTGAGAACCTGAGGCAGAGTAACAGCGTTTAAATATTCACAAAGTGATGGTGGGGAAATATGGCGGCCTGATGTCCAGATGTTCTTAGACAATCCAAATTTCTACATCATCTTTTTCTTTTCAGTAAGGTGATTAATCAAAAGAATAAGTAAGTATAATTTAATTTGATATTGCTTTAGAACCTGTCATACAAATAAGTTCACAAAACAGAACAATTCCCTTATCAAATGTGTGTCCCAGTGTTTTAGTTTAGAAAATAACAGCATTTGCCGAGCGGAAGTAACAGGAAGGGCATAGGGATTGTTTTCCTTCTAAGTCACTTCCTATCAGGTTCTTCATTTTTTCCTCATCTATTAAGTGGTAACTACCTGACAGGGCTGCACTAGAACTAACTCACAGCTACTGCAGAGAACAGTGCAATTAAAGGAAATAAATTACGTCAAATTATATAATCTTTTGGTTAGTGTTCCAGCATAGAACATAATACCTGGCATAAACAACATGTTCAATAAATATTTGGGAAATGAATGGATCAATTAATTTTAAAAATTTAAAGAATAAGAGAGAATAAAAAGATTCTTATGCTGTTTCGAGTTAACATTGGGTTAGGCTAATTTGTGGAACATCAGAACTAAAACTGAATGTGATCCCAGAACTAATATAAATTAGTTTTCCCATGATGAATATGCGGCAGGATTTATTTTGTTTAGTATCTTCCCAGTGCTGGCTTTTATACTGAAATTTTCTGATTTGTAAGATAAAAAATATATTAAAGTTGAAGAGGTAGCAGACCAATTCTACCATTAACAGCCCAAATAAACTTCTTCCACATCCAGTGACATTTCACACAATAGTGTGGGGCTCTCCAGGGCTATTATAGTATCGCATTGAATTGCCTGCAAGTGGACATTTGCTAAAGAGCCTCTCAGAAATTTGCTTTAGCCCATGGATTAGTAAAAGTAATCTATTTCTACATAAAGACTTTCCTCAAAATCCTGGGTAATGAAAAGTCTGGGTTTACAGACTGGAATCTATTCGTCAATTCATTCAAACAAGAGATTCGAATAATTTTTCAAGATCTTTCTTCTGTCCCATATGAATAATAACATTTTTGTACCTCTAGAGCCTTGCATCCTACATTGTAATATCATGGATAGTCGAAAGATGCAAGAAGTCACCTTTCTCACTAAAATTCTTTAAAACTTTCCAGGGAAAAAAAAGAGCCCAAAATATAACAGTGTTTCTCTATCTTTTTATTTATTTTTACTGCCTCATTCCTTTTGGAAGAAAGATTGAAATGATTCAAAAAATGATATCACAGTAAATTAGCTTTTATGTGTAATTCATTTATCTTCAGTTTCAATCTATTAAGACATATTACTCACATACCATTATTTCCTATAAAGCACACCCCATGCCATTTTTGAAACACTTATTTTAAAACGTTATATTTATTCCATCATTTTAATCCACCATCATGCTTTAATCCATTTTGGGAATAAACTGAGTATACATACCCCAAAATACAAATCCTTTTCTTATTTTCTTGGTATTGCTTCTTGCTAGTCTTTTGTGTGATTCCCCCCATTTTTTTTGCAACCATAAAGAAGTGTGCAACATTATTATTTTTACTTTCAGATTCTTGGGGTATATTCCACCAAAAGAGGAATCGCCAGATCAGGATATATAGGTCATTTTTGTACTGTTCCTGGGCTGACCCTCTAAAATAATGAATTTGCAATACTATCAACAACCTTTTTGTGGATACACGAGGTGTCCCCTTGTTAGTACCAACCAGCTCTTGTGTTCAGGCTCCTCTCGGCCTCAGCTGACATGGGGCACTAGCGGGAGAACAGAGTGGAAGAGGAGGAAGTCAGGTGCCTATCAGGCCTCTGCCTCTAACCCCATCTCCGTCTCCTCGCAGAGACTTCCGCAAAGTCTGCATGTCTGGGGACGGCCCCATTGAGCCCTTCTGTAGTGTCTCCAGTGACAATGCACTGCCCTTGCCCCTCCAGGCCTGGGGGCAAAGAGCTTTGCATTGTTCCCAATTCCTGGGTGCCCCCCTGGGCCTTCTCCGTCCTTTACACACTGCCCACATCTCCTGGAGTATGCCATCTAGTTCCTGCTAAAACTGGCTGTTCTACCTGCAAATTATCATTATCTTTGCCCATTTATGACACCTAAAAGTTATTTTGTGTTTCTGACGTTGCTCATGAGTCTTGGCCTTTTCCATGCCTTCATTTCATGCCTATTTTGTCATGTACAGAATATTTCAAATCCTCTCACCACTTTAAATAAGACCTGGATAATGACTGATACAATATGTGTCATTTTAACATATTTTTCATAATAAGCTCTTTTTGATTGTCATTTCACATATATTTTCATATTCTGATTTTTTTATTTAGAATGTTCATTCCATTACATCTCATTGTGTCAAATCATTCTTAGAATTCTGAGCATTTTTTATTTAAATCATTTCTATTTATTTAATATAAAGAAGGAAAAAGCTCCCCTCCACAAAAGAAAAGGATATTCTATACATTTTGTTCTAGTTTTTGCTGGAGTCTTTCTCCACCCCTGTATACATCTTGACTCCCATTTACTTTTTATGCTATCTGGGAGTTTGCTGTTGTAGTGACCTGACTTATGGATTCTGATCAGTTTTGATATTGATATCCAACTGTCCTCCAAACACTTACTGAATAGCAATTTCTTGTCTCACTCTTAGGTTGCTGGAGGTTTGTCTGATAGCATGTCACTAATTACTTTTTAATTATCTCTGGTATATTCCATGTGTCATTATTTTAAAATATTTGCAAAATACTATAAAATGTTAAAGCAATCTCAAACTCCATGTATTATTATTTTTCAAGTCCTTTGTTTAAAGTATTAAACTATTATTATTTAAATGGGAGCTAAATATGGGAGTAGGAGTTAGAACAGTGAACCCAACAAAACAAAGTCCCTAATCTAGGAGAGCCCTTATTCTAATTAAGAAAGATACAAAATAGACAAACTAATAAACACATAATATAAGGGCAAAACAGAGCAGATAGAAGACTCTAGAGAAAAATACAGAAGGGCAGGCTGTACCGGGAGAAGTACAGCACCTTTTTCATGCTACAGAAGGAATGGGTATAATTGAGGATCACTATTTTATATAAATTGCTTGGGGAACCTCTCTGGATAAGGTGACATTTTAATAAAAAACCGAGGGGAGGGAGGAAACAGTCCTGGAGGCTTCTGAGGGGAAGAGCAAGTGAAAATCTGTCTTCACCAGTAGAATATAAGTCCCTGGACACCGGAAACTAGTCTGACTTGCTCACCATGCAAGGTCCTCAGCACACAGTAGGTATAAAACCATCTGCCAAAAAACAAAGATTAAACAACATTTCTAGACATAATTATGTCCAACCTTTCTCTCCTTGCATATATAATGTCATTTCTCCCTTCAGCTCTAAAAGTGACCCCTATTCCTCCAAAGGTGATGGGCGGGGTAAATACGTGACCACAGGCTAGAGCAGCACTGTCCAGTAGCACCTTTGGCAATGATGGATCTGTTTCTGTGACCTCCCACGCAAGTGCTTACTGGGCACCTGAAAGGTAGCTGGTGCTATTGAGGAAGGGGATTTTCTATTTGATTTAATTTTACCTAATTAAAATTTAATTTTAGATGTGGCAAGTTGCTACCCAATAGAAGAAGGCTGCTCTAGTGCCAGTGACATAATTGTGATTACACAGACCAAAAGCACAAGTCCTAAGGATCATTTTTGTATTCCCCATGCAGAGTAAACATGCTCCTCTATATAACTGGGATGACAGCACATTTTTATTTACATTTGCATTCCTTCATTCATGAGCCCCAAACTTCCAAGCATTTGCTTTTTACACCTCCTTTTTAGGTGAGGCATCAGTTCGTACACTCAGTTGGCTTTTTCAGAATTCTAAAGTCATTTTTAAAAAATGTAATATTTTTCTTAATATCAGTATGTATTCATTGTAGGAACCCTGAAAATATATAGAAAAGCACAAAATGGAAAGAAAAAATTATCCATAAAACAAAAATCTAGAAAAAAACATGGATAACCTCTTAGAATCCTTTCTTCTAATTCTTGTGTTCTACCATGTATATTTTACATAACTGAGATTATTCTAGATAACCAGCTTTG